ACGCACCTGCTCACCCCCACACGTGCTCACACCTGGCACCCACCTGCTCACCCCCACACGTGCTCACACCTGGCACGCACCTGCTCACCCCCACACGTGCTCATACCTGGCACGCACCTGTTCACCCCCACATGTGCTCACACCCGGCACGCACCAGCTCACACCAGCACACATATTTACACCCAGTACACACCTACTCTCATCCTACCCGTGTTCACACCTAGCACACACCCTTCTCACATCTGTTCACAGCACACCCAGTCCCCCTCTCCACTCAGCACCCCACATCCTGCTCCCTCAACGTGCATACGACTCCTGCAGCACCCTGGAGCTGACCAGAAGAAACTGAGGCACAGTCAGTTCCCACATACAGAAATGGAGTCAGGGGTCAACTGCACCCCTAAACACTGAGGAGGGAGCAGCGGCCTCACGTGGAAGCCTCAGAGCCTCTCTCTCGCAGGGTGAGCGAGGTGATGCACCAAGGCGAGCTGCCACCGTGGGGGCGGAGCAGCTTACAGAGGGGACCACGCGAGGGCAGGACGGGGACAGTCATCACCGACCAGAGGACGAGGGTGGCTGAGCGGCCCCACACCTCCCTGCACTCTGTACCAGGTCACCTGACAGCACTGACACACTGACAAGGACAGTCCTTCACGCACAACAGGGAGGACCCTGTGGCGCTCCTGTCACCAGGCTCTCAACTCCCACTCGGAGACCCCAAGGCTGCACCGTTACCCATGGTGGGCCATGACTCAGGCCCTTATCAACTGACCCCCAAGACCCACTCTCAGCATGAAAGGCCCTGCTGCCACCACTGTCACAGACCAACTGTGTCCCCACCAGACGTGCGTGCATGTGGTGGCTCAGTACGCTGTGGTATGCAGTGCAGATCCCCCAACCACTCTGGGAGAGAGATGGCCAGTCTCCTCCCATGTGATTTACAGCCTCTGAAACCCTCTGGAGGGTCAGCTATGGGTTGGTATTGACTCAACGGTCCCCAACAACAAGAGCAGCGACAAGGGTTAAGTAATGATCTGCAGGATCTGATGGACTGCAGGGGGAGGTCCCTGAGGTGCGACCTCCCAAGAGACAAAAGGAGAGAAAAGTCAGCAGAGAAAGGGAGACCTCAGTCCTCCAGAGGATCCCGGAGCAAAGTACGGCCAGAGAGCCCTGGTTCCCCAGCTGGGAAACTCTTAGCACCAGAGACAGAGAAACAGACAGCACCCTGAATGCGTAAGTGCAGCCTCCTAACCGTGAGAGAATAAACATCTATCTGTGAAAGCACCGACTTGTGGCATCTCTGTTATGGCAACTCCTGGGCGTGGCTGCGTGGGGCCAGGGTCGGGCTAGAGGACACATATGGGGTACACACATGGCTGAGTCACCCCTCGGGCCCACCCCCGGCTTGGCCCTCACCAGGCATGCTCTCAAACAAGCAACAAAACCCCACTCTGCTTCAATGTCTTTTTTGACCAAAAGAGACTTTACATCAAACAACCATGTTGGAAACCATGAGAATGTCCACACAGGTACCGTGTCACAGAACAGACTATGTAGAAACTGTCCAGTGACCGTGACCGAAAAAGAACAGACTATTACTACCACTAATAACAACAACAGAAAGAGATGTGGTTGTCCGCTGTCAACATGTCTTTACCAGTCACCCGTGTGGGGCAGGCACTGTCTTGGGGCACTCTGGCTGGACTAGTGAACAAAACATGAATCCCTGCTCAAGTGGGGAGACCAGCTGGGATCTGGGAGCAGAGTGTGTGATCCCCCGACCTCCACCCCACCAAGGACCCAGGGAATCGCAGAACAGGAAGGGGTGATGATAGTATCCCACGGGGAGAAAGGGCAGCTGAGTGGATTCGGTGGAGCAGGTAACCGAGAGGTGGGCACTTCAAACTGACCAGCTGCTCCCCAGGATAAAGACGGGCAAATTAAGGAGAAAGATTCAGATTTAGATCTTTAAAGATTTAGAGCCTGGAATAGTCGGCAACCGATGTGACTGCAGTGGGTTTCAGCATGTAACGTGTTCCTGAGTCACTGGGTGTCACAAAGAGCTAAGCGCTTGACTACCAGCTCAGAGGAGCCTCCGAAAAGCAGCCTGGTGATCTGCCTGCTTCTGCAAGGTCACACAGCCCGGAAAACCCTACAGACCCACCTGGCCTGCAGAGGAGGGTCCCAGCCATCAGAACCAAACCAAAAGCTGCTCATGACCACGCTGCCACGGAGCAACAGACAGGTGGAAGGAAACGAAAACAAAATCACCCCGAGAGCCTCTGAAAACTACTACTGGGGTCCAGACACACGTGGATTGCTCAGATGTGGGGTCTACTAAGCCAGCCCGAGAGCTGGGTTTTGGGGGTCTTTTGTTGTTGTTGCTTTTTTAATTTTAATGAACATTTACAGTGACTTTGGATTTCCATTCATTCATTATTGCACTTTTCACCCTGCCCACCCCCACTCCCGGCAATTCGCTCTTCTCTTTGAAAAGTAAAAGAAAAATTCTTTCAGTGTTATGAGAGCTGTTTTTTAAAAATAGTTTTATTAGAACACAGCCCCAAATGCTTGTTTACATTACAAATGAAGGCTGCTAAAAAACAAACAAAAAAACCCAAAACAAACAAACAAACAAACAACCCACACACAAACAAATGAAGCTGCTCTGGCATGATATAGACAGAGCTGAATAATTAGAAAATAGATCCTAAGGCCCAGGGAGTCAAAAAGGCTTACTTTGGAAAAAGTCTGGAAGCCCCTAGTTTATACCACTGTCATACAACTAGTTATAATGACAGAAACATCCCTAAGATAAAAGACGGTACTTCAGAGGAGCTCTGGTGGCCTAGTGGTAAGGAGCTGCAACTACAATCCCAGAGGTGCACAGTTCGAATCCACCAGATGCTCTGCCGGGGAAGGAGGGGCAATCTCCTCCTGTACCAGTCAGATCTGATTTGATGGTACACACACACACACAAATAATAAAATTAAAAAAAAAAAAGACTGTACTTCTAAGAACCACTGTTACTACGGCTCCTGAACCAATGCTCACAAGCCTGAACTCCCTGCAGCTCCAGCGAGGTGACCTTCTGGGGAGGCTCTCACAGGTGCCCTGGGCAGGGGGAGCAGCAGCTCCCATACATTAGAGAGAAAAAGACACCCAGAATGAGGCGGCTGTCACCAGGACCCGGAGCTGTGCTACTACGGCCACGGAATGGCAGAGACAGGCCCCCATGCAACGCCAATGGGCTCCCGTCTCCATAAAAAAAACCAACCGAACAACTGGTCTTTGAACAGTAAGTTAGCATCAAGATGAAAACCTCCCAGGCTGGTTTCCATACGACCTACCGGCCACCGTCAACAGACCTCGGCCTCCTCTGTGCGCCAACCTGATGGTGACGCCCTGTGAGACCTCATGGCAGCTTGGACCGCCCGTGAGGTTTCGCGGGCTGTAACCTTTGGGACTCCACTGCCTGTCAACAATCTTTTCAGATTAAGCTCATCAAGACTTTCTTGGTGGGACAATGCGTGTATTTGAGCTGTCCACTCTCTGTCTGGCACCTGAGCACTTAACCACCATGCCACCAGGGCCCCCTTCTGAACTGGGGGGACTGCAGACACTCCTGTGAGTCCCTGGGAGCGTTGTGAGAGTAAGCTCCAGGTCCCAAGCTTCCAGCGTCTACCTAGGGGCTACTCTGTGGCCGTAAACCTAGGGCCAGGAGCACCGGATGCAGAGGAACGTGCCAGGTCTGCATCGGCACTGCAGCTCACAGCGGGCCTGGCGACCAGGGTACCCCCTCACTCCTGTCTGGTTGCACAAAAAAGTCAGAGCCCTGCAACACCAGCACCACCGGGACTGGTTAGAAATGCCCACTCCCAGGCCCCACCTAGGCCCACCGAAGGGGACACTCCAGGGTCAGCCCTCCCTCTGGTCTGAGACTGGAAGTCTAAACTGCACTTGGGGACCACTGAATGTGCAGTGGGGGGCACGCTCTGCCTCGCAAAGGCCCTGAGAGGGGAAATCTGGGGACTGAGATTCAGGTGGGGACCCAGGACCACAAACAGCTGCTGTGGGACTTAGAACAAGTGCTCTGCCTGAAAGAAGACGCTTAAGAGTCCCCTCCTGAAAAGGAGCTCTGGTGGCCTAGAGGCAAGAAGCTGCACTGCAATCCCAGAGGTGCGCAGGTTCAAATCCACCAGATGCTCTGCTGGAAAAGGAGGGACGATCTCTTCCTGTACCAGTCAGATCTGATTTGATGGTGCACACACAAGAAATAATAAAATAGGAAATTAAAAAAAAAGAGACCCCTCTGAGGCGTAGACTTGCAGTGCACTTAGCGGAGTTCTCTCATCACTTCCTACCCTACACACGTCTGTGCACATCCCCTTACTGCCATCTGTAAACAGGAAAGAGAGACTCTAACGCTAAACAACACAGCCACCGGTTACTGCAGTTACCACAGAGGACAATGACAAGTCACCCACACACCCCCATGCCGCCACCCTGCCCTGACCCCACATACCCGTTTTGCCCGTCCTCCAGGCCCGGAGACGGGGCAGCAAGCTAGGCATGGGCAGAGGGACAGGATCCCTGTCCCCAATGCGGACCTCGGCCACCAGCTCCAGCATGTCCTCGCTTCTGCAAGGCGGAAGGGGCGTGAGCCTCGGGCCCATCCGGCTCCCTCGCCGGGTCGCCTCGCCCGCTCCGGCAGCCCACTACTCACTCGCCAGGCCGCAGGTCCAGGCGGCTGGGCACCCAGGTGTCCGGGGGGTCCAGGACGTTCACCAGCCCCGCGAGGAAGCTGTCAGCGGCCATGTCCAACACCTGCAATAGGCCCAGAGGACTCCATGTTACTCCTGCCCATGAGGAACCCAGAAATACCATCTCCCCAGCCCTGACCACTCAGGAGCCCCGACCTGAGACCACAAGGAAACACAGATGAAGAACAAGCACTCCATCCTCTCGTCCTGGCTGCCCCAGGATTCAGCCCAGCCTTCCAACACCTGACCAGTAAGCACCTCAAACCAGGTCTCTATACCCCACCTCCTCTCTGAAATCCAGGCCTCTACCTAGTGTTAGTGTCCAGTCCCCTCCTGCCACAGACCCCCGGCCTCCTCGCTTCACTCACAGTAGCCGTGTCAGTCCCTCCTGATTCCTGAGCACGAGGCTCTAACCGTGGGCTCCGGCAGCGCCTCCACCGAAGGCCGTAACACCGGGAGCCATCTGGGGAGACAGAATCGCGTGGGTTGGGGACCGAGGTGCAGTCCTTGTGTGGGAGGGCAAAGAAGAGTGGGTCCTTCTCCTGTGACACCGGACCCAGATGCCTCCCTGGGCTCCTGCCTCCCCACACGGGCCCCAGGAGGATGCTCCTGACGCCTCGGAGACTGCTGCTGCAACACACATGGTCACCTATCTGTCCTTAGGTTGTCCCCGTGCCCAGTCCCCAAGGGCTCAGTCCCATTCTTCACCCAGCAGCCCTACTGCGTCCCTGGAGATGCCACGTACCTACCACCCTTCTGGAACCTTCCCTGACCCCACCTCGCCTCCTGCCGTGCTAACTCAGGTAAGCCTCGCACCTGTTGCCCTATCTTGTGGCTGGGTTTCCCCACACGGGTAGTCACTGAGGGTGACCCGTCTTTGGTACCCGAAAGGCCTCAGAAGAGGCAGTGACGTTAGGAAGAACGCACCCATGAATGAGGTTAGGATGAATGCAGAGATGAGACAGGCAGAACCCCTACCTTTCTCGTTGGGCAGGTCCCCCTGCAGGGAGCTCCCCACCGCCTGCTGGATGGCGCGCTGTGGAGGGGGCAGGGCAGAGAGAAGGGGTGTCATGCAGGTTCCCACTCCCTCCGGCTCCCTGGCAGCAGACCTTCCAGACACCCAAGGGCAGGCCAGACTTAAGGAGCTCCTGGGTGCAAGCACGGGGTCCTCAACCTCTCCTCCCCCAGGCCAGGGATCCCTAGTCCCTTCCACCCCTACATCCAGGAACCGAGCTGCCTCACCAGGATAAAGGCAGAAGGAGAAAGCGTGGGGTCTCTGTCCGGGGCACCATCGCCCCGCTCTTCGCCCGAATCCTCCGTCTTTCCTCGCGACTCCTCCTCCTCCTCCATGGTCACCTGGCAGTTGAGGCCGGGGAGGGGGCAGTGAGGATGGGCAGCGACTGCCTGCAATGGCTTCTCGTGCCTCCAATGATACCCCGATCGGCGTCCTGCGGTCCAGCTGCCCTCTTCAGCCCCACCTCATCCCAGTGCCCCCCACGTGCTCTCCATCCCAGGGACGAGAGGTGCCCGGCCCCTCCTGGGTCTCAGCAGCTTCTTGTGTGGAAGGGAAGCTACACAGACGCCTATCTTGAACCCATCCCACAGCCTAGCTAAACACCAAGACCCTGTAAACTCCATGGCAGGAGCCAGCCCAACACTGAAGTTGCTTTTTCTGCAGAAGTTGCCACGTCAGGTAGGGTTTCTTGGTCCCAAGAGTGCAACTGAGGTATACGCGACCACATACTGGGACAGGCAGGGCCGTACCTCCAACCCCACACCGCTTGCTAAAGCATCCATCTTCCTTGTCCGAGAGGGACCAGGAGAATGTATTTCTAGGCTCAAAAGAGGGTGGAACCTTCAGTCTCCTCCCGTGGGACATACTGCCTCTGAAGGTCCGCTGGAGGGTCAGCTATGAGTCAGTTCTGTCTGTCTCGATGGCAAAAATCACGCTTCCTGAAAGCCGGCTGCTGCCCAGGCCTGCCCTGGAGCGGCACAGCAGAGACCCCTTGACAACATCACAGACGCCCCAAGGTGATCCCTCAGAGTAGCGGGATGCCTTCATTAAGGGGGTTTAGGTAACATGAAGGCAGCAACCCCCTCACACATCCAGTTGTAAATTTCTGAACCGGCCTCAAGATCCCTAACCCTCAACTCCATCTGCTTATTTGTGAAATGAGCCCAAGTCATTCCAGGGAACGTAAACAAGCCTGGCTCCTGACACACTCCTGGCACCTCTGAGGTCCTTAATATGGACTCAGTCAGCGTTATTAGCCCTTCAAGGGGAGATTTCCCCTAAACCGGCCACTCTGTTCTCTCTCTAGCTTCACATCTGTGAAAAGACCTCCTCGGCCCTGGTCTCGCTTCCACCAGACTTCCCAGGGGTCCCAAAGCTCCCACCTTCCGCCGCCCTGTGGGTCTCTTCCTGGGGGCCCATAAGGAACCCCACCTGCTTGGAAGCTGCTCCTGAAGCTTCGCGACCCAGACAGTGCTCTGGGTCCCCTGACACTGATCAATCCTCCTCATGCCAGCCGACAGCTCCCCTTCCAGAGCCTCCGCGCTCCAGCACTTTCCAGGGAAACCAATGCTACTTGAGAGCAGCGGCTGTTACATCGCAGCCCCTGCCAGGGGTGAGGACCTGCTCCTTCGGGCACAGAACCCCAGGCTCCGCAGACCCCACTCAGAAACCCATCAGCGTTTCTCAAGCCGCAGGGGTTAAGAGGGAACAGTGGGGTGCTTCACTGTGCAGCCTGTTAGAAAAGGCAGCAAGAAGCCAATGGGACCTTCGGGGGACCCTCACCAGGATACAATGGAAACATCACTGTGTGTAGTTCTGCATTCATCAAAAATCTCTTTAGGTTGGCGCGTTGAGCCTCAATAAAAACTGTATTTCTTACTGTAGATCAGGGTCAGAAGAGTGTGAGAAAACACTGGGCTAGAAGAATTGCATAGGTGTCCCCCAGACTCGGGCAGACTAGCTCTAACTTTCTCTGCAGCCAGAGAGTGATCCAGGATTTCAAACCCTTTTCCTTCGCCTTACTCTCTTTTGCACGGGTCAAGTTATGTCCGAGCTGGGGCGACGTTTGCTCTCATTCCGTGTCTATATGAATTTTCACCAAGCACAGTGACTGCACTCTGGCAGATGCACCCCCAGGTACTCCACCCAGATAGTTCCTTCCAGGCCCTTCTAGCAGCCCCAGCCTCCTGTCATTTAGATCAGACACTCCCTAGACCTCGATGAGACAGGGAGGCCTCTCAATATTTACCTCCTCCTGTTGGTGGGCACATCCAAGCCCTGTGCATGGCCCTAAAGGACTCCCCAGCCCTTGAAACCTACTAACTCGCCCCAGAACCATGCAGACCAGCCGCATCCTCCGCAAATCGGTGCACAGAGTTACCAGGCCTAACAGACAAGCCCCAGGCGCTCGAGATGCGTCTGCAGACCTCCCTCGTCCCCATAAACCTATCTCAAGATGGCCCCAGAACCCTCCGGACCGACCCCGGCCTCCGGTCAGCCCAAAGAGGCCACCTATAATCCACAGAGACACGATCCAGGCCAGCTAGATGACCGAAGGGAGACCCTAGTCTCGTTCCAGGCCCTGGGGATGGCCACGATCGTCTCGGGAGCGCCCCGCGGACGCCCCCAGGCACCCACAAACGCGTCCCGGAGCCTTGAGAAGGCCCCCCGCCCGGCCACAGTCTTGGCCGCCGCCGCCGGGTCCGAAGCCGCCCCACTAAGCCCTCCAGGTCCCGTGGCGTGTGCGGAGGACCCCAAGACAACTAACGCCCCGACTCCGCCCCGCCCACCCCGCTAGGCCC